ACTAGGCTGCAAACGGAGTGCTTCCAGTCCAGGTCAGCCTTGTTCACTCTTAGCCACAGGTCGGGCACAGCGGCTGGCACACAACAGATGCTTAGTCAATCCTTGCTGATGAACAGAAAAATGGACCAAACAATTTCCTCTTGGAGCCAACCCTAGCCTTCCTCCTGTCCTAGGCCACATGCCCAAAGTCCTTCACATTCTACTACCAGACTGTCCTGAGTCAACAAGGAGGGGTCCTTGGAGCCCAGACCCTCAGACCATTCTTGGGCCACAGGGCCATAGCCACATCCAGGCAAAATTCCAAAGAAAGCTTTGCAGTCCCCTTGGGTGAGGCCCCTCCCTGCCCTGGGCCCCAGATAACTTTCCAATTTTGCTGTCACATTGAAGTGAACTCTAGTCTCTCTGATCCACCGTTAGTGGGTGCCCTAACCACAGATGGCGTCTTTCCTGGAAATGCCAACTCTGAACCTGTTTCCTAGTTTCTGAATCTCACAGCTGCTGGGGATTCCCAGCCAGTGTCTTCTAAAATGCGCTCCTAGAGCCAACTCTGGTTGCGCTCCGTTCCTCTCTTCCCCCATAGCCAGAGGGAGTCATTAACACTACCGATTGGACCTATATTTTCTCTGCTTTTAAAATGCTGTCCCCCATACAAACTGCTCTCCCTGTATCACACTTAGGATATACCCGAAGTTCGCACTTCTAGACCTGGCCCATGCCAATCTCTCACCTCATCTCTGATCATGCCCTAAATGCAGCTCCGAGATCTTCCTGTTCCAAGCTCAGTTCTGCCTCAGGGCCTTGGTACTTGATTTCTGCCTACAGCTCCCTCTTTCCAGCTCTCCTGTGGGTCTCAGCCTAAACGCTGCCTCCTCAGAAAAGCCTGCTCTGGCCAGTCTGTCTCTAGTAGCTGCCCCCTGGCCACTGCGTATCATATCTCCACATTTTATTTCTTTCATAGCTCTCACTCCCAGCTGAAGTTACCCGATTGATTTATCTGCTCCCTTGTCTGGCCCCTCCCTCCCTCCTGAGAGCAGGGAGGGAAAGATCCCTCACCATTAAATGCCCATCCCTCAGCCTGGGGTTCAACCCAGAGGAGGAGTGCTGAGAAAGTAGTGCCGTGTACATGATGGACACTCAGCTTCTCCGAGAGGTGGCCCCGCAGCTCCACGCCGTCCGGCCTCGGAGCCTCTCCCGCTGTGGTTACCTGCTCTGGGAGCCTCTCCCCTGACCATTCCCCTGGAGTCTCCCCAATGGTACTTCCTCGGGGAAATCATGTCTTCTTCTTTTTCCCCCAAAGAGTTATTTTATTTATTTGAAATTCAGAGTTATGGGGGGGATTTTTCATATGCTGGTTCACTCCCCGAAATGGTTACAACAGCCCAAACCAGGAACCTGCAACTCCATCCAGGTCTCCCACATGGGTAGCAGGGGCCCAGGCACTTGGGCCATCCTCCGCTGCCTTCCCAGGTGCACTAGCAGGGAGCTGGGTCGGAAGTGGAGCACTGGGACTCTTAGGCAGCAGCTGCGCCACAACACCAGCCCCAGAAACCCTATCTTGTAAAGCTCCTGTGGGGGCTGGCGCTGTGGAGCACTGGCCCCCACATCAGAGCGCCAGCCCGGATGCTGAACTTCCGATCCAGCTCCCTGTTAATGCCCCCTGGGAAAGCAGCAGAAGACGGCCCAGGCGCTTGGCCCCTGCCACCCACAGGGGAGATCTGGATGGAGTTCCAGGTTCTTGGCCCTTGCAGCCATTCGGTGAGTGAACCAGCAGGTGGATAGTCTCTCCCTCTCTGTCACTTTGCCTTTCAAATAAATACATCTTTTTTAAAAAAGAAAAGAAAAAGCCCTTGCAGCATTCTGCTCTTGGTAAACATAACTGTCCTCGCGTCTTGCCATTATATTGCATTCTTATACTTATTTGTGTGGCTGGCTTTAAGGCCTGTTCATTCTCTCAGGGCAAAGGCTGGGTTTCTCTTGCTCCATGCTGTGGCCTCAGCTCCTAGACTAGAGCCAGGTCCACAGCGGCTTTCAATGCATGCTTGTTGAGTGGCTGAATGAGTGATGTGTCATGGGTTAAGGATTCAGATCAGTCCAATTCTATTCTCCTGTGGATGAATGAATTAATGGAGGCGGAGGGGTGCCAAACCCCTCCAGGCCACCTTCAAATTCCCCAGAATCCCCCACCATGGCCACCAACAGAACTCAGCCCACTCTGCTGAGCCACTGAAGGGTGCAGGTCAGATTCAAGGGTTAGTGGTTACCGTAGTCCTTGGGGAGGGGGGCAGGCGCCGAGGGGTGCACGACAGGCTTCCGCCGGCGCTCCTGGGTGGGGCTGGGGGCCTCAGGGACAGGTTCCTCCTCTTCCTCCTCTTCTTCCTCCTCCCCTCGGGGCGGTGGGGCCATTGGGGCGGGATCCGTCTTAGTCATGGTCCTCGGTGGCCCTCAGGGGGCGGGTGCGTATTCGGGGGCGGCCTTCGAGCAAATCCTGGAGGCAAAGATGAGCTAGAGAGGGCGCCCAGAGGCTGGGGGTCCTAGCCCCCAGGTGCGCCCGGAGCCCCGGGTGGCCTCCGCGCATCCAGCTCTGGCTCTCGGGCAGCCGTAAGGATCCCCGTTCCCCATCAGAGGGCCCGGCATGGGCGCCCAGCGCCTGCCACCTGCCCCAGGCCCAGCCCCCCATTCTTCTCCCGCGTCAAGCCCCTCCGTGTCGGTGCCGACCGCCCCCTCCCCGGGTTTGTTTATCTCGGGATGCAGGATGCTTCGCCCCTCCCCTTCTGCGCGGGGCTGCCTCTTCCCACCTTACCTCGGCTGGATGGGGCCAGGAAGCAGAGCGGCGGCTGAGGAGACCGCGGCCAGAACGGGGTGTCGGTGCCGGGGGACGCGATGGGGAAGGAGAGCGAGACAGAGAAGGGGACGAGGCCCAGACACCGACGGGGGATGGGGGTGGAGAGGGAGGGGCGCTGGCGGCGCATGCGCAGTGCTACCCTAAGTCGGGCGCTGGGGAGGAGATGCTGGGAGGCTGCTGGCAACGCATCGATGAAGGGGCCGGAGGCAGCGATGGGAAGGCGCCAGACACGGAGGATCGGGAGCCCAGGAGATGCACGGGGAAGGGTGTGAAAGCAGGCACAGGCTTTTTATCCGCCCCTGCTGTGATGGCCTCCGGAACCGCTGCCCGCACTGCAGGCAGGCCGCTGAAAGCCAGGGGCTCAGTGTGCGGCGGTGCTGGGTGTTCCGTGTGGAACCTCGGACCTAACCCCTCTCCGCGCCCGACCTACATACACGGGGCGTCGACGCCCATCACCACGGTGCCCTCACCGCACTCATTCAGTGCTCACACAGCGTTGACTCAGGCCCGCGGCGTTTTAAGCCGCCTGCTCTGCCCAAGGGTGCGCGGCCAGTAAGTGATGGAGCCAACATGAAAATTAACCCCTGCACATGGCCTTAGCAAAGCCCCGGGGCAGACTTGCCAGCAGACCCCTTCAGCCCTCTCTGAACCTGGGCCTCCTGGCTCGGCCTCACCCCCAGGCTGCCTGTTGCCTGCTCTGCCCCACCTCACCCCAGCCTGAAGGAGGCTGGGTGGCTTTGCTTTCCTCCCCTCATCCTCATGACCCCTCCCCCAGCCCCGGACTTTGCTCCTGGCCTGTCATCACCTCCCTGCTCTCTCTGCTCCCCCACCCCACCCCCCAGGGCTGCTCCCTGCACGCAGCCACAGGGACCTACTAACACCTGTCGCATCCGTGCTCCCCTTGACTCGAAGGCATCTGCTTGCTGCACCTTGTTCCAGGTAAAAGCCAGTGCTCTCAACTGAGGCCACGGCCCTGTGGACTTGGCCTGTCATCTCTTCCATCTCACCTCGTCCCGCTCCCTTTTGGTCACTCCACCGCAGCCATACTGGCCCCTTGGCCTCCCTTACCCCAGGACCTTTGCGCTGGATGTCCCTCCTGTCTGGAATGCTCTTCCCCCAGATCCCTGCATGGTTCCCCGTCTGCCCTCTCAGGGTTTCACTGACTCGTGCTGGTGTCTTTTCAATGACACCTTCTCTGCTCTGTCTAAAGTTGTCCCCCTGCCTCCCCCTTCCTTCCTTCAGTGTTCACAGCAACACTGGGCTGGGCATGAGGAGCTGCGCCTCCCCTGCACTGCTGGCCCACACGCCTTCCAGGCCAGCTCCTCCTCATCAGCCAGGTCTCTGCTCCAAGTCACCTTCCCAGGGAGCCCTCTCCCCCGACCCGCCTCTCAGTTACACTTCCACTCAGTCCTTACAGCGTTTATCACGCTCTGAAGCGACCTGGTTGATTAGTTTGCCAGCTCCTCTTCTGCCCAAGCCGAATGCAAGCCCCCGAGCGCAGGGATGCTTTCCGGCCATGCACACTGCTGGGTCCCCAGCTTGGCACTGAGCCCGGCAAAGGGCATGAGGGGCTCAGCAGGACCAGGAGCAACTCTCCTGTCCCCAAACCCTGACCCTGGTTCTGCTCAGAGGTTATCACTGACTGGAAAGATTGGAGCTGCGGGTAGCAGGGGCCCAGTGCTCAGGGGACTTGGGTCCAGGTCCCCTCTAAGGTTCATGAGGTCTCCAGGAGGGGGTGGTGGAAATCCAGTGCTGGAGGGAGGCTCTGGTGCTCCGCAGACACGGGCAGCAGGGCTGGGCCAAGCCCAGGCACAAGGCGTCTCCTGTCCTCCATCTTCTGTCTTCTGTCTCTCCACAGCATCTGTGCTGGGCTTTACGCATTGGGGGAGCCGAGTGGCCTGAAGCTCAGGCTTGGCAGCCAGCGTGGGAGGTTCAGGGCCCTGGGCCAGGACCACGGCCACATCAGGCCCTCCACAGATGACAGGGATGGTTTGGGATTCCTCAAGTCCCGGGAACTATGCCGTCCCGGGGAAAGGGCAGAGGTGAGGAACACAGGGGAGGGAGAGGGAGAGGGACAGACCAGCAGGGGCAGGAGGGGGTCACGAACACAGAGATATGGGGAGACAGGGAAGTCAGTTTGAGAGCCAGTAGCAGCCGGCGCCGCGGCTCACTAGGCTAATCCTCCATCTTGCGGCGCTGGCACACCGGGTTCTAGTCCCAGTCGGGGTGCCAGATTCTGTCCCAGTTGCCCCTCTTCCAGGCCAGCTCTCTGCTGTGGCCAGGGAGTGCAGTGGAGGATGGCCCAAGTGCTTGGGCCCTGCACCCTATGGGAGACCAGGAGAAGCTGCCATCGGATCAGCGCGGTATGCCGGCCGCGGTGCGCCAGCTGCAGCAGCCATTGGAGGGTGAACCAAAGGCAAAGGAAGACCTTTCTCTCTGTCTCTCTCTCTCTCACTGTCCACTCTGCCTGTCAAAAAAAAAAAAAAAAAAAAAAAGAGAGAGAGAGAGAGAGCCAGTAGCATGGGAAAACAGGGAGAGATGTGGGGGGAAGACACAGGAGACAGATGCGAGGGGCAGGGAGACGGAAGCGCACACGGATATGTGGGCATAGAGAGATGCACCGAGAAATGAGGGGGGCAGGGGAACAGAAATACAGAGTCAGAAAGACAGAGTGTGAGAGAAGGGGTGGGGGGAGAGAAGGGAGGAAGGGAGAGAGAGAGAGTCAGCTCAGGGCCCTGGCGAGCCCCAGGCCCAGTGTGAACTCTGCCCTCGCCCAGGCCCCCAGTCTCAGAGCCCCAGGGGCAGCAGCCACGCTACAGCCCAGCTGACTGCTGGTACCTGGGGACATGAAGCCGGCGCCGTGAGATCTGCTGAGCCTCTGCAAAGAGCAGAATTGCTTTAGAGCACTAGTGAGGCCAAATCACTGTGTGGGCTCATGCTCCACTCGCTGGCTGCCAGCTGGGGACTCCTTAGCTATGGAGATGTGGTAGGGCTCCTTCTGAACCCTCTGCCTCTAGCTAATGCCCTAGCTCTGTCTGCATTCCTCACCCATCTACAGAGGGCTTGGAGGACCATGGGTGCTAGGTTGGGACCTCAAACTTGGCCCTGGGGCTTTAAGCAGTAGGTCTGGGCAAACACTGATTTTCAGACATGAGAATCTCCCCCCACCCCACCCCAGCCCTCACTACCAACCCAGCAGTAAAATAACAGAGGCAAAGGGCTTTAGATGGGGCCTGGGGCTCCCCCAGGGGGCTGCAGACAAGCCCCACATGGGCCAAGCAGGGAGCTCTGCCACAGGCCCCGTGCACTGGCCGCCTTTGGGTCAGACAGCTGGGCCTGGCTTCCTGACTTAGGGAAGTCACAGGAATGCTCTGTGCCTCCGTTTTTTCATCTGGAAAATGGGGACAACCGTAACATCATGCTCATGGCAAGTCTTCACTAAGTTACTAACTCAATGGCAGGCACGGAGCAAGACTCCTTAAAGATGATTAACTAACAGAGCAGCCAGTACTCAGCTCCAACCAGTGAGGGCTTCCCATTGTCAGATTCTTTTTCTTTCTTTCTTTTCTTTTTCTTTTCTCCCTTCCAATTAAAGCTGGCGACTTGGAAATGGATGCAAATTTCTGAGTTTCCAATATGGGAGCCCAGTTTATTGGAAGCACACTGGGTGGTCTGGGCTAGCCGCTGTGGGGCTGCCGGGCCGCACTCGCAGCCCGCGCCAGGCCCCGGCGCGCTCGCGCCAACAGGCTCTGCCCGCGCAGTTGCTGCGCCAGCTGCTCCAGCGCCCGCAGCTGCGCCTGGTGCCGCGCGTGGCGCCGCTGCAGCCTCCGCACCCGCCGCTGCAGCGCTCCCAACACCGCGCCCAGCCCAGCCCCGGCGCGCTGGGCAGTGACGCCAGGGCGCGGCCCCGCGGGAGTGGGCGGAAGGGGCAGTGGGGTCAGGAGCACGGTGGCCGCCGCCTCCGAGACCCGGGATGCGGGCCCCAGCACCAACAGGTGCACCAGGTTAGAGGCCGGGCCGCGGGGCCTCAGGGCAGGGCTGCGGTCTCTCGCGGGCGGCGGCGGCGCAGCTGGTTTCTCCCGCCTTCGGCTCGTCCGCCGCCGCCGGCTTTGGAAGACAAGGCAGGGGGTGGAGGGCGCTCAGGGCTGGACTCCAAGGGGACAGCCCTCAGGAGGTAAGGGCTAAGGGGTCTGTCTCCAGGGGGACTTCCCTTCGGAAAGGCCAGACTTCAGGAATGGAATTTCCCCCGGAAGGGGAGGGCTGTGGCTCAGAACGCACCGGTGGGAGTCCCAGGGGGAGCCGGCGGGTGGTCACACTCCAGCAGTAGCTCCACCCAGCGCTCACCTTGCTGGGTGGCACCCGGGAGAAGATGGAGGGCACCGCGTCGGGCCGCAGGTAGCGCGCGCCCCAGCGCCACTGGAAGCAGGAGGGCGCCAAGTGCTCGCTGCACAGGTGCTGGTGGCAGCTGGGCACCCAGTGCTCACGGCGCATGTGCTGCAGCCAGGCCTGCAGCCGGGCCAGTCCTTCAGGGGGAACCTGCGGGGCGGGGGGATGGCAAGGTCACCAAGTCAGTGCTGTCAGGTGCCGCCCACTCCTCCCTGAGGACACCAAGCCTGTGCCGTCCCTGGGCCAGGAAACCACCCCACCCCCCCCCCCACCCGCGCGCGCGCGCCCTCAGTCCCTCTCCACCGCGAACCTGCATCCCATTCTTCCCTTCTCCCTGAGCTGCCCCTCCTATCCCGCCTCATCCCTGATCTCCCTGACCCGCCCCCCCCCCACCACCACCACGATTTGTTCCTCCACATGAACTTGAAGGAGTTACAAAATCAGACATCTAGAAGGTGGGAGATCATACAGTCAAGTGAAACACTTCTTCCACTACCATACAACATGAAGGTAGGGGCAGGAAGTTAGAGATTGAGAGATTTAAGAAACATCAACCTGGGCTGGCCTGTGGCAGCATCCCTGTGAGCACTGGTCCTGTCCTGGCTGCTCCACTTCCCATCCAGCTCCTTGCTACTGTGCCTGGGAAAGTAGCAGAAGATGGCCCAGGTGCTTGGGCCCCTGCACCCATGTAGGAGACCCAGATGGAGTTCCAGGTTCTTGGCTTCAGCCTGACTCAGCCCCGGCCATTGCAGCCATTTGGGGAGTGAACCACTGATGGAAGATACTTCTGTCTCTGTAACTTAGCCTTCTAAATAAATATATAAACCTTCAGATTGAAAAAGAAAAACATCAACTCAAATGCAGGCTGTGGGTGAAAAGCCTTTTTAAGGTAATTGGGACAAATTGAGCATAAGCTATATTAGGTAACAGTCAGTAATTACTTTTGCAAGGTGTAATCATTATATAGGTTTATGCTTCTAAAATAGTATTCTGTTAGAAAAACATTCTTAAATACTTATAGGTGAAAGATCCGATGTCTCGTATTTATTTAAAGCATTGTGGGACAAAAAACTCGGGTGCAGGGCAGTGAAAAAGACTGGCAAAATCTTGACATCTGGTGAGCCTGAATGATGGATACATTAACATCATACAACCATATTTTTTGTTGTATATATTTGAAAATACACATCATTAAAAAGTTTTTTTTAACATTTTATTTGTTTGAAAGGCACAGTTAAGAGAGCAAGGGAGAGGCAGAGAAAGAGAGAGAAAGATCTTCCATCTGCTGTTTCACTCTCCAAATGGTTACAATGGCCAGGCTTGGGCCAGACAGAAGCCAGGAGCCAGGAGCTTCTTCTGGATCACCCAGGTAGGTGCAGGGGCTCAGGGACTTAGACCACCTTCTGCTGCTTTCCCAGTCAGGTTAGCAGGCAGCCGGATTAGAAATGAGCAGCTGGGACTCAAATCGGTACCCACATGGAATGCTGGCATCACAGGCGGCAGCTTTACCCACTATGCCACAATGCAAGCCCCATTAAAAAGTTCATAAGCAATAAAAAACAAACAGCTCAATTTAAAAATGGGCAAGCAATGGGAACAGACATTTCTCCAAAGGAGATATACAAATGGTCAACAAATATGAAAAGATGCTCAGCTCCACTAATCACTAGAGAAATGCAAATCAAAATACTACCTCACACCTATTAGACTGGCTACTATGAAAAACAAGAAACAAATTAACAAATTCACAGCTTTAGCCTGGCCCAGCCTGGGTCACGGTAGCCATTTAAGGAGTGAACAAGGATCTCTTTCTCTGTCTCTCCCTCTCTGTCAGTCTTTCAAATAAATCAAATAAAGCACCGGCCCCTGTAATTCTATCTTTCAAGTAGATGAATAAACCTTAAAAGCAAACAAAATTTTAAAAATCACAATATGGCTACTTCTCAATTAAAAATAGAATTGCCATATGCTCTGGGGCCGGCATTGTGGCGTAGTAGGTTAAGCATCTGCCTGTAGTGCAGGGGCATCCCATATGGGCACTGGTTTGAGTCTTGGCTGCTCCACTTTCAATCCAGCTGCCTGCTGATGGCCTAGGAAAACAGTAGAAGATGGCCCAAGTGCACAGACCCCCTACACCTGCATCGGAGACTTAGAACAAACTCCCGGCTCCTGGCTTCAGATTGGCCCAGCTCTGGCCATTGCAGTCATTGGGGGGAGGGGGGGGCTAACCAGCAGATGGAAGATATATCTCTCTTTCTGTAAATATGCTTCTCAAGTAAATAAATAAATCTTTAAAAAAAAAAAAAGGAGGGGGTACTAGTGCTGTGGTGTAGTGGCTAAGCCTCTACCTGTGGTGCTGCCGTCCCATATGGACACTGTTTTGAGTCCCAGCTGCTCCACTTCTGATCCAGCTCTCTGCTGTGGCCTGGGAAAGCAGTGGAGGATGGCCCAAGTGCTCAGGCCCCAGCACCCATGTGGGAGACCCAGAGGAAGCTCCTGGCTCCTGGCTTCAGATCAGCTCAGCTCTGGTCATTGCAGCCATTTGGAAAGTGAACCAGTGGATGAAGACCTTTTTCTCTCTGCCTCTGCCTCTCTGTAACTCTGATTTTCAAATAAATAAATCTTTAAAAAATAAAAATAATTACCATATGATCCAGTAATTCCAGTTCTGGGGATATACCACCAAAGAACTGAAAGCAGGTTCTTAAAGAGATATTTACACACCCATGTTCATAACAGCATAATTCACAACAGACAAAAGGTTGGAGTGTCTGTCGACACATGAATGGACAAACAAAATACATTATAATACAAATGAGGGAATACTATTTAGCCTTGAAAAAGGAAAGAAATTCTGACATACACTACTATGTGGATGTACTTTGGGGATTATGGTCAGTGAAACAAGCCAGTCACAAAAGATAAATAGTGATGATTGCAGCTAAGTAAGATGCTTAGAGCAGTCAAATTTATAGACAGAAAGCAGAATGATGGTTTCCAGGGTCCAGGGTCTGGGGTCGGGGAACAGGAATATAGAATTGTTCAGTGGGGATAGAGTTTTAATTTTACAATATAAGAAAGTTCTAGAGATGGGCTGAATAACAATGTAAATGTACTTAACACTAATGGACTTTAAAATGGTTAAGAAGCAGCTGGCATTGTGGTACAGTGAGTTAAGCTATCACTTTGGTATGCCCACGTCCCATATAGGAGTGCTTGTTCGAATCCCAGCTGTTCCACTTAATTTTTTTTTAAGATTTATTTTATTTATTTGAAAGGCAGAAGTAGAGAGAGAAAGAGGTCTTCCATCTGCTGGTTCACTCCCTAAATGGTCTCAACAGCCAGTGCTGGGGCAGGCCAAGGCCAGGAGCCAGGAGCTTCTTCCAGGTCTCTCATGTTGAGTGCAGAGGCCCAAGTACTTGGGCCATTCTCTGCTGCTTTCCCTGGCACATTAGCAGGGAGCCGGATCAGAAGTGGAGTAGCTGAGTCTTGACTGGCACCCATATAGGATGCGGGCATCACAGGCAGTGTTTCCCGCTATGCCACAGCACCAGTCTCTGTTCTTAGTCTGATCCAGCTTCCTGCTAATGTGCTTGGGAAGGCAGTGGATGTTGGCCCAAGAATCTGGGTCCCTGCCATCAACATGGGAAACCCAGATGGAGTTCCTGGTTTTAGTCTGGCCCAGCTGTGGCTATTGGAACAATTGGGGAATGAACCGGTGGATGGAAGATCTCTTTCTCGGTGTCATTCTGTTAAATAAGTAAGTAAATCTTTTAAAAATGGTTAAGATGGTAGTTTTATGCTATCTGCATTTTACAACTACAAATAAACTTTTAAAATTTTAATGAAATAAAAGCTTCCTTCATGGGGTCCATTATTGTGGCATTACTTAATGTTTCTCTTAAAGATACTGAAATGAGAAACTTTATATCACAGTTTAAAATGGAAAACCAGGGGCTGGTGCTGTAGCATAGCAAGTAAAGCCACCTCCTGCAGTGCTGGCATCCCATATGGGTGCTGATCCAAATCCCAGCTGCTCCACTTCCAATCCAGCTCTCTGCTATGGCCTAGGAAAGCAGTAGAAGATGGCCCAAGTCCTTGGGCACTTGCATCCACATGGGAGACCCGGAAGAAGCTCCTGGCTCCTGGCTTCGGACAGGCCCAGCTCCAACCACTGCAGCCATTTTGGGAGTGAACCAATAGATAGAAGACCTTCCTCTCTGTCTCTCCCTCTCTCTGTAACTCTACCTCTCAAATAAATAAATATTAAAAAAAATAAACCTGGAAAACCAGTATCAATTCCATAAACAGAATTAACCTTAAAGATATCAGATACCAGGCCGGCGCCGCGGCTCACTAGGCTAATCCTCCACCTAGCGGCGCCGGCACTCCGGGTTCTAGTCCTGGTTGGGGCGCCGGATTCTGTCCCGGTTGCCCCTCTTCCAGGCCAGCTCTCTGCTGTGGCCAGGGAGTGCAGTGGAGGATGGCCCAGGTGCTTGGGCCCTGCACCCCATGGGAGACCAGGAAAAAAGCACCTGGCTCCTGCCTCCTGCCATCGGATCAGCGCGGTGCGCCGGCCGCAGCGCGCGGGCCGCGGCGGCCATTGGAGGGTGAACCAACGGCAAAGGAAGACCTTTCTCTCTGTCTCTCTCTCTCACTGTCCGCTCTGCCTGTCAAAAAATAAAATAAAAAGAAAAAACCATATCAGATACCTTTAATATGAGAATAGGTAGTGAAGAAGGAACCTGTCAAATACAGGTTGGGTTTTAAATTGTTTATTTATGTATTTATCTATTTGAAAGGCAGAGTTACAGAGAGAGAGAGAGGGAACGATCTATCAGCTGGTTCACTCTCCTACATGGCCACAGTGGCCAGGGCTTCGGTAGGCTGAAACTTATTTTTGAACGGCATAGATCTTCCATTTATTGGCTCATTC